TTCAGAAATGTGGGTCTTTGGTGGTTTTGGTTGGATAATGTCTAATACATAAGATGTGCTTATGGACACTTTTAGTATGCCACCTTTTCCATGTGAGAGCTTCAGAAATTGGCTCCATTTCTTTTGTGTTCTACCAAAAGCAGGGAATATGACACTTGGATATTCATTACTGCTATCTATATGTAAACTCTGAGTTTCAGTGAATTTTAGCTGCTTTCCCATATTGAAAGAGAGCATTTGTGTGCAAATTTGGTATTGCTGTTTTGTACCTACTAATTTTGCTGTACAGTTGGGAGTTTCCCACTGAGAGACTACGGTATAGCCAGGAACACAGAAGTGCTACTATGGATCTTCCAGTTCTCCTTTGCCAGTAGAGGATTATCTCATTTTTTTGATGAGTGCTATATTTTCTGATTCACTTTCCACCCTTCCAAGCTTAGAAGTCATTTTGGTATCAATTTCTTCTCCTCTTCCTAGCTGAAGCTATGGTCCATTTTAGGCTATATCCCCTCAGTCTTTGGACAGGCTTCCCATTGGCATCAGCAAAAGTAACGTAAGAGGTTGTAGCTGAAAGGGAAGGGCTTGTTAGGGGTTTTGCTACAACCCTACCAAATGTGTTTTTCCTGCAGCAGTGTCATCAGCTCATACCACTTAACTTCATGTTGTTCAAAATACTCTGCATGAGAAATTCACGACAGAACTGTGTCTAGTTTTTCTATGCTAAATGTAAAACTTCTGTGATGTTTCTCTAGATGAATGAACCTGCTTCTAAAATCAGGTTGAAGAGTTTTAGCCTCCTGAGCAGGGAGGGGGAAACCATTTGGTTATCTGTGCTGTGCCACATAGTTCGGCTGGCTTCCCAGCCGCTGCATGGTGTTCTGTAAAGTCATTCTCAGTTAAGTACATCGGAGCTGATGGTGGGATAAACTGTTAAATGACCTGACTGGGGGGCATTAGTAGTTGCTGAAGACTTGCTCAGGTAAACCATCGTAGGGATATCCTGCACCTGAAAAAGGTTGACTTGGTTCTGTATTTGGTCTAATAAGTTGCCAGTATACAAGAAGTAGAAGGCAGCAAGCCTGCTAGCTGATCTTTCTGGCAGCTTTAATCTATATATGTTTGTTTGAGAGACTTTTGCCCTTGGGTGTGCTTTGGCAAAGATTTTGCAATGGTAAGTAGGAACTGCTCGATTCTGGCAGAGTTTCAAGTGTAAGTAACCCACTGTTGCAGGTACATAATCTGTTGCTGAATCCTGTTCCTCTTGTTTTGTCTGAAATTTGTCCTTTTTATTGCTAATTTGTTGTATTTAATAGTAAACACTTCTCAACCGGACTGATCACAAGCTCTCAAGGTGTGAAATGGTAGCAGGAAGAGACATCCGAGCGTGATTCTGTGCTCTTCCTGTACATACTAAGATGAAGCTGAAGTATTTGTTACCGTACAGTCAATTCTCTCCTCGCTGATATTGCCAAAGCACTGTAACTTTCAAGGAAGAAGGGAGGTGGGCTTAGCGGTAGAGGGGATGCTTTAATGAACTACTTAATTTTAAAAGCTGCAGCATCACACTCAACAAGTGGTGATCAACCTTACCACCTTGATTGAGAATCTCATTCTGCCTCTCCCTACCCCATGGCAGGTACCTGCTGGTAGGGAGCAGAGTGTATATTCCCCTTGTTTATATGCCCCTTCCCAGAGAGCTAACCCTGCCCAAGATGAGTCAGAGGCAACTCCGTGCTAGCTTCCAAAATGCCACCTGTACGTGCAGTGGTAATGGACAAGATGTCTTCCTTCATTACCCAGAGCAGAAATCAGAATGTGATTTGCAACGTCTAATGTAAAACATGTTTGTATTTTATTTTTTTTTAATTGAGCAGTATGATTGCAAGTTGACTTAAGTTGTTCTAAGGTACTTTTCAGTAGTCTGCCAGTACATAATAATGAATGAAAATATTTTTTTATTGATTTTTAGGTTGTATGTTTAACATTCCATTCATGTAAAATATGTACAAATATATGTAATAAATCTTTTGAGGCACAGTTTTCTTCACATTTCCAGGTTGGGTTTTTTGTTTGGTTTTTTTTAAAGTATTGGTGAAAGCCAATACTGTAGGGCAGAGCTTCTCTATGTCTGTGCTGCAGACCAAGCTGAAGCAGAGGGAAAAAAAGCAATGCCTGTTGTATGGTCACAGATAGAAAAGCAACTTGCTATCTTGGCTGTCTGCAGTTCTGCAGGTGGGAGTGCAGACCCTCTGGGCCAGCCTCTGGCCCCTCTCGGATCCCCTTTTGCTCTTCGCAGATCCTGCAAAGCGGCTGTGTGACAGGCTTTCATCCAGCTGGCCAAGGACCTTCTTGGCAGAGCAAGGCTGACGTAGCTGCCGTTTAAGAGGCTGGAGGTG